ATTAAATAATTATGGAATATTGCTTTGAGTTTCCATATCTGGTATTGCCACATTTTATTTTCGATTTTTAAAGAAAACTGCTGTTGTGTTATTGAAATACAAAAAACAAACCCAATAACCATCTATGGTCAATGACTATTTCCATAAAATCCAAATGGAATGCAAGAAATCATGTCAAGCGGAAAATTGTTTTATTTCTCTATGGCATTGTGACGGTGTTAAAACAAAAATCCCCTGAAGAATAGGCAACAATCCCCCACAATCAAATATGAAATGGCAGTCAGTCCAATATTGCAACCAATTATGATGTGCACCCTCTCGTCATAAAAAGTAATCTATCTATATATGAAAAAAAATTGCAAACAATTGAAAACGGAAAATATATATTCTAATTTAGACACATATATTTTGTGATTGCAACTACAAACAATGTTGTAAACCCAAGTCCTCTTTTTAGGAGGGGGGCATTTGAAACAAATGATGGAAAAAATAAATACACTTGGAAAAAAAGGTGAAATCCAGTTGAAAAAGTAAACGAGATTATAAACTTGGAGATCAAATCAACATGAAGAAGTAGGGATTTTTATAAATAGAACCGCAGAATGATAACGACCTCTTTCAAAGAAAGAATAATATCTGCAGATCTTCCATAGGAAATAGAATACCTGCAGCTCTGCTATAGGTAGAATACTGCCTCCAGCTTTCCTATAAAATTACATGCATCTCCCCTACAGGAAGAAGAATACCTCCTGATTTTCCATAGGAAGAAGAATACCTGCAGATCTTCCATAGGATTTTTATTTTAAGTAGATTACACTTAGTGGACTTCTTGGCGTATACGTTGTGTTGATAATCATACGCAGTGTTTTATTCCGTAAATTAATATTTGGAATTTCCATATATTTTTCAATACCTCTTCAATTGAATCTTCAAGTAGTTCATTCGATTTATCAACAAAAGTTGGATACGATTTAATTTGAAAAACATAAGTTTCTGTAGGCAAATTTTGATCAGAATTGGTATAAATAGGTGATGCAAACATACACTGAGAAAATATATACTTTTAACGAGGAGATAAAATCTAATATATCCTGTAGAGAGGTTTTGAACGTAGAACCGCAAATAACTTATATTTTTTATTTTTTTAACAGAACGGCCTTTCCAATCTTTGGAGTATACGTTGTGTCGATAATTATACGCTCCAATACTCCCAATGAAAATATATAAAATAATAAAAATATTTTTTTTAAAATTCAAGCTTACGAATTTTATAAAAATTAATAAAAAAAATCCACGCTTATGATTTTTTTAAAAAATCCTCGCTTTTGAAAATTATAAAAATTATTTTTTTTAAAAATCCGAACTCACAAATTTAAAAAAAAAAACATATTTTTTAAAAAATCTAGCTTAAGACTTTTATAAAAAATATTTTTCATAAAGTCTTTGCTTACGAATTTTATTAAATCCAAACCTATTTTTTAAAGACATATACTAGGCTTAAAAAAAATCAAAAAATCCGACCGAGCTAAAAAGATTTAATAGATGTTGAAAATCATTCAGTAATAATAAAACCCCATCTTGACGTATACGTTGTGTCACTAGTCATACGCAGTGAAGTCCTCTGTAAAATAAAATTCGTGTTTTGTAAAGAAACTTCTATTAACTTTCAAACAAATCATTCATATTTGAGGAACTGAGAAACCTTAAAAAAATATATTTTTTAAACATCTACGCATAGAAAACCCCTTAAACAGATTTAAACATTTTACTCCTTGGGAAGAATATAAAAATGTTTCAAAAAAATCCTTGCTTGTCTAAGATGTTAAAAAATATATTTCTTCCAAAACTCAACCCGATCTCTAAGTTCTAAAATAATATGAAAAACATTTTCTAATAGTATACCCTTTGTTGACATCATGGCGTATACGTTGTGTCACCAATCATACGCAGTGATGTCCTACGTTAAATACAATTTGGGATTTGCAATGAAAGTACAACTTTTAGAATAAATCTTTAATACTTTCAGAATTTTGAAGTCGTAACGATTTAATTAGAAGTTTGCTGCGATTTAATTTGAAAGCTTAAGTGCTTGTTTTAGGTCACTTCCTTTCTTCCTCTGCTCCTTTCCACTTGTTTTAGAAATAGTCGAACTCATTCAATATTTCTCTTACAGTTGTGGCTTGTTTTACGTTTTCCTTCGACGACTTCTGATTAAGAAAAAGTGGGGGGAAATAAAATATTTGAAGTGTACACAGCACGTTTTATAAGGATAATAACATATTGTGCTTTTTTGGAACGCCCAAAATTAGGTTTTAGCACGTAAGTATTTAATTTGGCTGCTACTATGTGTTCTACGTTCCCCGAAAGCAAACAGCTGAGACAGCAGCTGAATACATTTTTAACTTCAATATCTAATTGTAGGCAACCTTAATGCCAAGAAAATGTTTGATAATTATGAGAAGTGTATGGAGAAAGTATTTTGTATATTTTGTTTTTTTTTCTGTACAAATTTCAAAATATAAATAAATATCAAAAGTAAAGTTACATACATTTGGAAATGATGCGCACATAAATCAAATGAAATTGTTGATTTCTTTCTTAATCGGAAATATTATAGTTAATTTATTATTTTAATGGACATGTTGTCGTATACGTGCTGTCGATACGTATACGCTCTTGCATACACGAATATATAAATCGTAAAAAAACATGTCAATGATTCCTTTAGGGCCTTTTATGTTTAATTTTCAAGGAAATGTGATCTATTATAGTCTTTCTTAAGAAAACAACTTCAGATCTATTTTAAATTAGTTTTAAAACAGATCTTTTAAAATATCCACGCTTATGATAGATCTTAAAGATATTATTTAAAATATGCACTCTTATAATAGACCTTAAAATATGTTTTAATAATCCACACTTATGACGAAAGCTTAAAAATAGGTTTTTATTCAGACAAATTATTGATATTGTAATGTTAATTCGATGGACATGTTGTCGTATGCATTGTGTCGATACTTATACGCTCAGGCATACATATAAATATAATAAAATTGCATGAAAGCCATGTCAATGATTCTTCGGGAGTCTTTTTAAGAATTTTTCAGGAACAGATTATTTTTTAAGGCGTTTGTAAAGGGAAAATAATTAAAGTAATATCTAAAATTAAGCGTGGATTTTAAATTATATTCTCAAGACCCTATAGAAATGTGATTACAAATATAATTTTTTTAATATCCACGCTTATCATAGATCTAAAAAAAATATTTTTTTTAATAATCCGTGCTTATGAAGAAATCTTAAAAATAGGGTTCTAATGAGACAAATTATAGATATTGTATTATTAATTCGGTGGACTTGTTGCCGTATGCTTTGTGTCGATACGTATACCCTCCGGTATACAAACAAATAATAAAATCACATGAAAGCCAAAATAATTCTTAGAGAGACTTTTTAAGGGTTTTTTTTTTCAGGAACAATGATGCTTTTGTTAAGAGATATCGTCAGAGCTATCTAGAATAACTTCAGAGCTATCTAAAACTAGGCGTGGATTTTTGAAATATTTTCTCAAGACCCTACAGAAATGTATTATTAATATTTATAATATATTTACCCCAGACTTAACATATATATATATATATATATTTTAATATCCACCTTTTGATAGACCTTAAAAATATATTTTTGAAACTACCACGTTTATGATTAATTTCAAAAATATATTTTTTAAAGCGACTCTATATATACTTCTTTCAAATCCAGACATATCATAAGATCTTAAAAATATCTGTTTAAATAATCCACGCTTAGGAAGAGTGTTTAAAAATAGATTTTTTATTCAGCCCAATTATAGATAATTTATTATTAATTCGGCCATGCTGTCGTATACATTGTGTCGATACGTATACGCCCAAGTAATCTAGAAATAATAAAATCAAAAGAAAATCCACACATATGATTATATATATGATTCTTTCAAGTCCTTTTTCTTTTTCGGAACAGAAGATTTTTGAGAGCAACAAATGCAATGTCTATCAAAACACTGATTAGTTTTTAAAAAATAAAAAAAAAATAGACTTTCAAAATACTTCTTAACATACACACGCCTCATGAAGGATCTTAAAAATAACTTTTCTGAGTTTTTTGATTTCACGCTTGTGAGGAAAACGTTTAAAATTTTTAAAATATTTTTTTTAATGAGCCAAATTATAGATAAGTTGTTATTAATTAATTCGGCCATGCTGTCATATACGTTGTGTCGATACGTATACGCTCTAGTATACAAGTAATAATAAAAGCGCAAGAAAGTCATGATCAATTGGTTCTTCCAAGAACTTTTTAGGAGCAGATTTTATAAGAACAAAAAGGAACACTGAGTAGTTTTTCGAAGAGCCCACGTTATTATAGACCTTCAAAATACTTCTTAAAATACCCACGCTCACGATATATCGTGAAAAATATTTAATTTTTGTGTTTTTTTACATCCACGGTTGTGAAGAAAACATTAAATATTTTTTCAAAATTATTTACACTTATGAAGATTAAAAATATTATATCTGAATAACCAATTAAATTATAGCTGATTTGCTATTATTAATTCGGTGGGCATGTTGTCGTATACATTGTGTCGACACGTATACGCTCTGGTGTACATGAAATAATAAAATCGTAAGGAAGTGATGCGTAAATGATTCTTTCATAGACATTTTAAGGTTTCTTGTGCATGAACAGATGATTTATTAAGGCGACTTTTTAAGAGAGAATAATTTCTGAATTATCTAAATTTTCGCGTGAATTTTTGGATAATTTCTCGAGGAAAAAACAGAACTTTAATGTGTGGACTAAAAAAAATGTTTTTTTTTTACATTTAATTTTTTTGTTTTTTTTTTAATTAGTATTATTTTCTTATTGAAATTAGGTTTTAATAATTTTTTATATTTATTTGCTATATTTTTTAAAAATTTTTTGTTTTCTTTATTAATATATCCATCCATAATTACCATTTCCTGTGTTGACAGCACCATTTCATCGCCATTTCGCGAATCGAACATAAATTCATGAAGAAATTTCATCATGTGGATATTTTTTGTAGAAATATTATTTCGTAGATTTATAATATATATTATTTCGTAAAATATATATTTTTTACAGCTTTCGAAATTCACAAATACGCCACGTTTTAGAAATCGACAAAACAAATTACACAGATTTCACAAATTTTACAACTTTTTCGCCTTCAACGAAAAATTTTCTTGTGATTTTTTTGAAGAATTATTATTTTTTTTTATTATTTACACAACATCTATTTACAGGAATTATTTTTAAAGCATTGCCACACACACGTAGAAGATTGTTGGAACTGATATATTTTTCTGAATATTAAAAATAGAAATTAAATAAAAAATAAATTTTTAACACTTTTCAAAACTATTATTTTACTATTTTTAGATATTTTTTAAAATAATTTCATAATGAATATTTTTTAGATTAAGTAGGAATTTTATTGATTTTTTTGGAAATTTTTTTTATTTAACGTTTGCATTATATTATTATTAATTTGTTATTATTTTTATATTTTTAATTTTTGTTACTTTTATGATTTTTTACTATTTTTAGATATTTTCTTTCAAATAACGCAATTTCAATGAATATTAAATATTAAAAAAAAAATATATTAAAATTGAGTAGGAATTATATTGATTTTTTTGGAAATTTTTTATTAAACGTTTGCATTATTATTAATTTGTTATTATTTTTATATTAATTGTTGTTACATAAATGATTTTTTTTTAATTTTGTATACTTTGAATTAGCGTTTTGGCGTATACGTTATGTCGATAGTCATACGCCTTTATGTTCGCCATGAAGTCTATTAACAAATCTATTATTACTATTATTATTTATTTATTTATTTATTTTTTTTTTTTAATGTACGGATAATTTTGAAATTGCATTTTTTGATGAATATTTGTTATTGAATTATGATTTTGTTTACAAATGTTAAATATTTTTATATATAATTTTTCATTAAAATTTTATACATTTTTATGTATTATATTAATTTTTAAATTTTATTTTTTAACCATTTTTTGTTACATAATTTTTTGGTCTTATTTTTTTAATTTTATTAATTTGTATAGCCTGTATATGATTAATTTTTGTTATTTTTTCTATTTTTAATTTTGTATATTTTCAATTAATTTTTTTTCGCGTATACGTTATGTCGATAGTCATACGCACTAGTGTTCGCCATAAAGGCAATTAACAATTATTTTTTTAATGTTAGAATAATTGTGTTTTTCGATAAAATATTTTTTATTATATTTAATTTTTGTATAAATTTTAATTAAAATACAATTGTTTATTACATTTTATTAATTTTTTTTTTTAATATTTTTCCAAAAAAAATCACACTTGATATAATATAATTTTTATTTAAATTTTATATGTTTATTTTATTATTTTTTATATTTTATAGTTTGTAGTTAACTCTTGTTGTTGGGATTGTAGGGATGGAGGGGAACACATGCGCTTTGGACTTCTATCTTGAATATAAGACCTTCAATTAACTGCTAGGCGTATACGTTATGTTAATCATCGTACGCCCCAATGTTCGACAAAAATTCTTTATAAAGGGAATATTTTATAATTGTTAATATTTTCATTTCCCTCAAGTAAGTCATTGCAGCTCATTTCCTCTATAATTTCCATGGCATCTAATATTCTATCGGTATGTCAAGGTTCTCACAATTACGATTAATTTGAATACATTAAAACGATTTTAAATAGCAACAGCAGAAATTATCCTTTTAAATATTGACACTTTTCGTGATTGGTCACAAAGCACACACACACGCAGATACATGTGAAGAACAGGTGATTGATGTCACACACTAATCAATAAGAGGATATAATGCCACTGCCTTTAAAACAAATTAAACAAGAAAAACCTAGATAAATTCTACCGGGCCGAACACTTTATACTCCGCCACCAAAAGGTAGATATTTAAAATACTTATAATCGATCGGGACTTTTTATATTTGAGTTATTTATGGACCATTCATTATACAAAATACTAAACTACAAACACAACTCAGATTGAAAAAAATTGGACTAGGACTTTGGACATACCGTAAATGCGAAGTGACCTTTGTATGGGGGCTATGGAGATACATGAACTTATTTTGGAAAAATTATGTTTAGAAGTTGGTTATTCGACAAGGTTCCGGAATGCCAAAATTACAGTTACCTCGTAATCCTAAAATATAGTCACCTCGGTAGGAAAGGCTATCAAAAGATATATGGGAAATTACAAAATTCTTTTAAAATTCCATTAAAAAAATTTTGAAAATTTTTTTTGCGAGCACATTCATGATTTTTGGTACATAGGTTAAGAAAAATATGCTGATTCGAAATCTGTTCGCGTTCACAAATTCGGATGCTGCGCACAAAAGTTATAGCGGTTTTAAATCTTGTATTTCAAATATAAATTAAATGAATTCCTATTCGTTGTAATTCGCGAATTTCTTCACAAATGCTTAAACACCATTGTTTTCTTTGCATACTAGTCAAATCACACTGAAATACGGTTTAATAGTCGCGAAAAACAAATAGAAACATGAAGATATCGGAAAATAAAATAAATTAATTTTTGAAATAAAACTATTTTTTTTTTTTTTTTTTTTTGAATTTTCGATTTTTTTAGTATGGTTAAGAGGATACGGTTTTGCCTTAATCTTCTAAAATATACAACGCTTTCTTCTGCAAATTCTTTTAGATGATTGTTAAATATCGGCAGATTCATCTGATAAGAGTTTCGACGTCATTAATGGCTAAATATATTGCATTTACAATACATAAAAATGATCAATATTGAAAAGCTTGCAATTCGCGAATTAATTGAAATCAGTTGATGCGCATGCGATTTTCGTATAAACCGAATCAATGTCTTTCAATAATTATTAATTTTTCAATGTTTAATTTAGCGGTCAAAGTGTGCCACTCGATGCACTTTACTATGCAAAAACCCTAAAAATGGCTAAAAATCACGCAACGTGCATACGATTTTTATGCGCATCCGATTTCAGTAATCTCCTATGAAAATACACAAAAGGACACCTATTTTAAAAGGATCGGTTAAGAACCGCGGATGTGCCTCCACAATCAATTTTGGATAAAATACGCATATTATTCGCGTATCGATGTATTTTTGACCTATTTCCACACAGATTCGCGAATTTGACAATACAAGCATAAATGCATGTAAAATTAATTCGAAGAAAACCGCGATTATTTACACGAATTTGTCAAAATACGTTTTTGCAGTTTTTCCCACATTCAAGGTACCTATATCCGCCGTTCTATTGGGCGGAATTGAACATGGATGGGCTCATTAGATCCGGCACGTAAAAAAACTAAAATCACGCGGGGTTCCACGGAATTTGAATGGACTTTCTTAATTTTAGACTAAAAAAATATGTTTTTTATAAAAATTTACGCACTAAATTTTCGTCTTTGGAACCCAATTGCAAAGAAGCTACAGTGAGCACATTCATGAGATATACACTAAACGAAGCAGAATCACGAGTTCTACGATCCTATAATTAGTTTATTCTATTGTCTGGATGCGCATCCTAATTATAAGAAAAATTCAAAAAACACCGAAAATCCGGCTTCAAAATGTCAGCATCCATTTTGGGTGGATGCAGTGATTATATCGAAAAATCATACATTAGAACCATATTGTCCATGGGGTATTCTGCAACTTAGTCACTGATCACATGTGTGTGCGTTGTGTAGTTTAGCCACAAATCGGGAACGAACACAAAAAAACTCGTTGGCTTCAACACATTTTCACCCATTTTTTTACATTACCACCATCACAGCTTCCACGCAACTTATTATTTATTACCAATATTTCAAGATTTTGACAAGAACACTTCATTTTATAGAATTGAATTTAAATTATATGCAATATGTTCATATTTCGCGAGTTATAACCTTGCAAACCTCAACTTCAAGGAATTTAAAAGATTTTTGTAATTTCCCATATAAATGCGCTTGACTTTCATAACAGTAATTTTTGTTAAGAAGATTTGCCATCCAATAGTAACTCAAAATAGGGAGCTCTCTGTCTATCCAATATTGATTTCAATTTCAACCCAATACATTATAAAAATTCGAAATTTTACAAAATTAACAGAAAACATTTCAGAAGGCCCTCACAAGGAAGAAAGGGTCTTCCTTGTGAGGACCTTCTGAGAAAGTCATTAATAGATACTTTAAAGCCAGACAAAGTCCATTTCTGTGGATTATCTGTATAAGCCCACTCTAAACGTCTTCAACAAAATATAGCAGACCCTTCAAGAGGTCTTCCATAGATAGAATAACCATTTTATAGATCCTCAAACCTAGAAAATCTTCCATGAGCCTTCCATAGATATAAGACCTTCCAAGATGCCTTCCATTGATAAAATATCATTCCAGGGGTCTTCGAAAAATATATAGGAGATCCTTCAAAAGGCATTCCAGAGAAAAATATTTTTCAAATTATTGTCGATGGATACAAGACACTTCAAGGGTCTTTTGTGAATAATAGAACAGAGTCAATTCAATTTTTTTTTTAATATAAGAGTTTTCCCTGTTCTTTCAGTGCACAACTAAAATACCCTTAACTAGTTTTTCTTCAGATAGATGACCCTTTAAGAAGTCTTCTATAGAGTATTCAATAGGCCCCGTAAACCATTTTCTATATATTAAAAATGATTTATGGGGCCTTTTAATGATAAATAATCCCGCAAAGGTCGTCTTCTATAGGTAGAATAATATTCAAGATGCCTTCTATGAATATATAGAATCCAAGTTCTGGTGGTCTGGTTGTGTAATTTTGGTATAGCCGCACTCCCAAATATTCCGAATTGACTGTGATCTAATATTTTGGTTCTCATTAGGTGGAAAATATCCCTACCATAAATAATCAACATTGGTCAGCTTTTTACGGTAGCCTCCATTTTGTCACGGATCTTAGGCACGTTTTCAACCCAACGGTGAACATTTTATTTTATTTTTTTATTGG